GGGCCTGGTCCCTCAACCAGTTCCGTTCATTTAGGTGGAACCTGACAGCCAGTGCTGCTAGGCCTAATCCTCAAGGCTCCTACCATTATGGCCAAATCAACATTACGCGCACAATCAAGCTAGTAAATTCAGCCGGCAAGGTTGATGGAAAGCTTCGTTATGCTATCAACGGAATCTCACACGAAAATACCGAGACTCCATTAAAGCTGGCCGAGTACTTCGGGGTTGCAGACAAAGTCTTCAAATACGACCTACTTAAAGACCAACCACCCACAGATACTGAACAGATTACCATTGCACCCAATGTGATCAATGCCACTTTCCGTAACTTTGTTGAGATCATATTCGAGAACCACGAAAAGAGTGTTCAATCATGGCACTTGGGTGGATATGCCTTTTTTGCTGTTGCGTAAGTATATATACATACATCTGGTTCCAACACCATTTTTCTTTTAAGAAATAACGTTTTTCCATATCATATATTGTTTTCCAATGACAATATTTCCATGTAACAGGATTGAACCAGGAAAATGGACACCAGATAAAAGAAAGAACTACAATCTTCTTGATGCCGTAAGTAGAAACACAATCCAAGTATATCCAAAATCATGGGCCGCGATTATGACAACACTGGACAATGCGGGAATGTGGATCCTAAGATCAATGATATCAGAGAGGCAATATTTAGGCCAACAACTCTACATCAGCGTCCTCTCACCTGCACGTTCCCTTCGGGATGAATATAACATCCCGGACAACGATCCTCTTTGTGGAATCGTCAAGGATTTGCCAATGCCAAAACCATATACCGCATGATTCTACTCGAAGTTGACAGATTTCTAGGCAAAATAAGAGGCTGCCAAAGCTACCATAATACACAAGCTTAAAGAAGCACAAGGGAGTATATCAACAGGCTCTGAAGCAAGAGGGAGAGTAGAGATTTTAGATTTGAATCCCCTCCGAATAAAGAAGAAGAAAACTACACCTGATGGTATAAATGGGCACTACCTTTATTTTTTATTGAACATAGGTTTTGGTTAGTTTTTTTTGTCGCTTTCGTATTTTATCTTAAATTTTGATGTATTTATTTTAATTGCATATTATGAAAATTGTTTCCACAGACATAGCATAGTGCCATATATACTCAATAGAATTTGGAAAATCTCTCATAAAATCCGATGAGATGAAATAATACATTCTTTCATAGAACCCACTGAACAAAAGAAGGATTCGTAGTCGAAAATCTTATTTCTAATTAAGGTACAAGGGATATAGAGGGGGAGTGAACCAGGCTACGTCGTCCATGACTGAGGCAGCCCGCCCTTATTTGGCCTCACACCAGATGTGTAGCGATCGACTTGTCTGAAAACTTGAGTCATGTTAGGCCTGCCTACAGACCATTTTTTCTAAAAGAAGATAGCGACCTGCAGACGGAAATTGTAGCTCAAGCTTGTCGTAGAAGATTTGTGTCAATTCGAGACGATGATCAAAATTGAAGCTTAAATGGATAAGAAGAAAAGATTTGAAGATTTTATACTGGAAATTCAATTGATTTTACTCTTCCATTTCAAAGATCTGTGTCATTATAATAAAGTGTATACCTATGTTGAGTTGGAGAATTCAATGTGTTGTTTGTTTGCTATGTATGAGACAACACCGTATTAATCGACTACGAATGATCAGAGGGAACTGTTGAGAATTAGGAGCAATAAAATCACAAAAAGAAAATAGACATGAAGAACACGCAAGGTTTGTAGTGAATCTACCTTACCAAACAAGCAATTGAAGTTGACAATCTTGTTTTCTTCTCGATCTAAACCACAATTGTACAAAGACTTCAAAGGTAATGTTGCTGTAGCTTCTAATAAGTATGCAGTTTTGGTTTTATGTGAAGTTTCATATTTTCATAGTGAATTTGACGCGATAACACAAAAATCTAAAATTTATAAGAAATGTATCAAAATCCAAACTGCGCGATTGCATAAAATGCCCAATTTAACAAGAAATTGTCTGTCACTCTTAACAAGGACCGTCGTCTCCATATTAAGAATCCACATTGCTGTTGTGCCTTGTATATACAATATCACTTACTTCTTCAGAACATGAATCATATTCCTTGGATCTCACACATCATGCACATCCTCGTGCAACTCGTGTCTCGAGGATGCGTGGTCACTGTTTGAACCATCAGCATAGTCATCAGGTTCGTGAATATTGTCGTGCCTCAGGCTAAAGCACTGACTATGACTTCGAGATCCGACGCTGCTGGAGCTGGAGCTACTCGAGCTCAAGTCCTGTTTTTTCATTTTCTTTTTACGTTGAGACTTATTGCCTTTGTCTTTCTTCTTCTCATCATCATCACTATCTGAACTGTCTTCCTTTTCAGGAGCAGAAATGTCGCCATCCTTGTAATGCGGATGATCTCTATGGTGACTCAACGTATCCACCCGGGATGACAAGAGAGGAACGAGGAGTGCAGGAACCGGTGTATCAGGTGGAGCCACTGCAAGTAAACTAAGAGCAGCCACAACATCACTGATCAAAGGACGGACCAATGGTTCATCCTGAAGACACATGGCTGCAACTCCCACGGCTTGATTTAAGCTCGTCACGGGAAATTCCCCTTTAAGAAGTGGATCTACCATTTCGGGAAAATGGGTTGTGCCTGTTCAATGCTATGAACAATGCTTAAACAATTGGATAAATCTGTCAGTTTAGGACTTTGTATTTTAGGTGCATGTTTGTCACACAGCATTCAACATGAATTAACAGTATAAAGAACAATATTTTTAATTTCTTTTTCTTCCTTAATGTTATCCACTACTATCCTTGCTACCATATACAGGAAATTTGTAGATGTTATTTTAATAATTTCTAGACTCAATTCCTTTACAACCCAACACTACCACTATCTATAGGCTAAGCTTAAAAGTTACTTATTCTGACAATGAAATAGGGTTTACTTTCGACATAAGTGATTGTTTCTTAAATATAGGTAACTTATTTAAACTTAGTCAAACAAGCATTCCGTCAAAGTAAAAGAGGAAAACGTCAACGAACATACTAACCCATGTAACTAAATTTTGCTCCTCTATTGGGCGAGTTGTGTCCAAGGTTCTGCGTCTTGTAATAAGCTCTAGTAAGATTACTCCAAAACTATATACGTCGGATTTGAATGTCAATTCACCATTTCTTTCATGCTCGGGTGCACAATAACCATGACCCGCGATCATCTTATTTCCGCTCTGGACAAGCTTGGCAAGCCCGTAATTCAAGAGTCTAGGAGTGGATTGTCGATCCAATAAAATATTTGAGAATTTTAAATTGCAATATATGATAGGGGGATTGGCCTTCTCATGTAAATACTAAAGTCCTTCCGTGATACCTAAAGCTTTGAAATTATTTTAAAGCTTTGAATGTGTAAAAATTATTTTTGAATTGTCTAGCACGTTATATTGAATTGAATTACTTCTCTGCTGTTGGGAATAAATAGCCTAAATGCGGAATCAATAGCATAATATTAGACACAATGCAAAGCATAAAACATAGTTCTAAGCTCAAAGTCACAGTTCACCAGTAGCTCTAAAACCAGCTAAACATATATATATATCAAGCTCATAGCATGCTCCAATATATGACAGTTCAATATCAATCAATCCCAGAAATCATACAATACACTAAACAGAAAAAGGTTTTGAACAGGTTCATAAAACCAGAATTTATGAACTCCAGAAATCAGAATAAACCATATGTCAATGCATCCATTTATATATCAGAAATCTGCATTAACACTATGTAATCAACATACCTCAGCTATTAATCATCAATGCAGGCAGAATATACACAGACCATACAAACTGATTCTACAGAACGTGGAAACATTATAGACCGAACATCAGAACTGAATAAAACATGTAATGGATAGAAAAAGCATAAGGATTAAACAGAAGACAGAAACTGCCCTATTTCACCGTGCAGCTTCCTTCTCCAGTGGCTGTTCTTCCCTTCCTCAGTGACTGAAACGACTAGGCTCAGGAACAGCCTTCCATGCCCGCAAACCGCCGTCCTCTCTCTCAAATTCTTGGTTGGTGTTTTCCTTCAACCTTGGCTTGGATCATCGACCAACCGGTCTCCCAAAATAGCCAAGGAGAACGCCCAAATCACTGACCTAAGCCCCCGAGAAACCCAACCATCTTAGCCACTATTTCAGGCCTAAGAACACTCAGGAGTTTCAACAATTACTGGACTACAGGTTGATTTTGGGACCACCTGAAGGAGAAGAAGAACCAGGCAAAGCAGAGAGAAAAAAAACCGAGACGGATGGTGTGTCTTAGAAGCCAATAGAACCCACGTGATATATAGATTCAAATTGAAGAAAATATCTCACCCATTTCAATCTCAACCGTAGGCTAAATCGAGGGCCACAAATGATCTAAGAAAACCACACAATCCGGGTTAAACACAGGCCCAACAAGGTGTTAAAGAGAACCACCAAAATAAGCCCACATCTGCCAATCTGTCAACGTGACATCTCCCATATTAAAACTCACAAATTCCACCATTTTCCCCACTTCACAACTATTTCCAGCCACCCCACCCCACCCCACCCCACCCCCCCTACATATACATATACAGTATATATTTGTACATATTCTTAGTCTTGTAAGAAAATGGAAGCTAAGTTTCAAGAACAAGAGCCTCATGAAAATGATGTTGATTCTCCCCTGTCTGGTGATGAAGCAACTGAAGAAATTTACGAGCCATCCCCGAAGAAAAGGTTTGATATTTTGTTTCTTCAGCATTTTTTCGTCAGATACGTGAAAATCCTGGCATTTTCAATGCATTCTATGAATTACTATATAGGTGGCATGGAGGTTGAAAGATTTTCAGTTTATGTGACATTAATGTCTAATAAATAGCCACTCAAGTTTAAAATTAGTCTTCAAAGCATTTTATTCTATGAATTGCTATTTAGGTTCCATTATTAAGAAATTATCTAATATTGATCAATATATAAGGATTTGAGATATATACTACTCTAATAAGGTTGGCTTTTTAAGAAAAAATCACAAGTTTTAATATGGTATTAGAGTATATTAAGTACCAATGAGCAATTCGATTTGACAAAGACTCAAATATACACACGAATTTCAAGATTAGTCTGTCCATACAAGCCAAAATCTTGTGAGCATGTTAAGAGATAAATTCAACGTTAGTTAAATATCGAAATATAGTGAGTGTTTGGTGGGGATTGAAATAGATTTTCAGTAGATTGTGATAGAAGTTTTTGAAATTGTGATTAAAAAATTATGGGTCTCATGAAAGATGTGTTTAGTATTGATTGTTTGACTTTGATTTACAATAAAATCTGATTTTAATTTGAAACAAACAGGGCCATAGACTAATATATAAGAATTTAGATTACCCTTCTTAACAAGGTTGATTTTTTTAGATAAAACTCGAAAATTAAAATAAAATTATGCCTAGACATTCGGAAAATAAATATAAATTTTGCCGAGTCACTCTATATATCTAACAGAGCTCTTGAATCTGGAAGGAGCTCTAGACATTATCTATTTTTTCTCTACCATATTATTGGTAGAGGTATCAATGGGCAGAGCCGAGTCGACTGGCTTGTGGCTCGTTGGTTTTTGGGCGAGCTCGGCTCGTTATTTTGACCTTTTTTTTTAAACACTACTGTAACTAATTAACCAAACCTTAAATTCAAAAAATATATATATACATATTTTCTATTTTTTAAAAAATATATATTTTTCAAAACATTTATAATTTTTAAAATAATAAATATACATTTTCTAAAATATTTTTATNTGATTACATGCAATTTTGGCATTTTTATATTGAATTCGATAATTAGTGTCTTTCCAGTCCTTCACGCACATTAATGCTTCCAAAATATCTTTTTTTAGTCGACTTCGGACCTCAGGGAAAACTCTCTTCCCTACACTAAAAGTAGACTCCGAAATTACAGTGCTAACCGGTGGTGTTAATAGATCTTTTGCAATTGCAGAAACTATTGGCCATCGGCTTTCGTTATTTTGCCAGAATTTAATGACATCTTCTGAACTTTTCCTAACTAATTTGTTATTAGGCAAAGTTGGTCTATATAATGTGCAGTTGCAGCTATATAACCTCTCTTATTAATCCATTTCCACAAATCCGAAGTTAAAGATATCACACCCCCATATTTTTCTAAATCTGCAATCAATAGTTTTTTTGAATTAAGAAAATATTCAATTGTATTAGAACGAAGAGTATTTCGACTTACCCTAACGTACCTCGGTTGAAGATATTGTTTAACGTAGTTTACGAAATGTTGGTCTTCCACTATTGCTAGTGGCAGCTTCGCCGCGGTAACAAATTTCACCATTCTCGTTCGTGTTTCCTCCTGAATACATCCACGTAGAAAATGGCGTAGTAGTAGCATCGGCGCTTGGAGTACCAAACTATAGTTGCGTTTGACTACTTGGAAGAAATCCATGTTTGGCCGCACATGTTATGTAGTAACGGTTGAGGTGGGTGGTTCCAATACCTTTTTGCCATGCCAATTGTTGGCAGTATTTACATACTGCTTTGGTTTCGAGAAGTCCATCGACCACACGATCAGTGTTAACCAATTTGAAATGGTCCCAACATTTTGCATGCTTCTTTCCATTTCTCTTCCCTCTTGCATCGGAAATATTTAATGTAGGTTTTTCATTTTGTTCCAAATCAATTGGAACACTAGGATCAATATCAACGTCATCCAAATCTATTGGATGACTACCTTCATGAATGTCAAAATCTTCAATGTTTTCTGGAATTGGTAATTCATTGAGACCGACAAATTCATTCCCAAATTGATTTTGGGCAGGTATTTCGCTTTCCATATCGAACAAGTTTTCAACAAATTGTCGTGGATCCATTTGTGAATAATAGAAATTGAATGTTGAAGACTTGAAGTAGAATGTAGAAATGTAAAATTGAGAAGTGAATGAAGATTATGTAGTTGTTAGTGTATAAAATGATTTTTTTTAAAAAAGAATGATAATGATTTATAGAATGTGAAAAGAAATGTAGAAGATGATTATAAAATAAATGAATGATAATTATGATATTGATTTGTAAATTGTAGAATGTAGTAGAGAGTAGAGTAGAGAATGAAAGTTTGGTGAGAAAAAAATTGTGTAATGAGTGGGTATTTTTAGAAGAAGAAAATTAGAAAAAAAATTTAAAAAAATTAAATTTTTTTTTTAAAAAAAGTGACCAAACGGTCACTGAAAAATTATGATATTATTGATAATGATTTGTAAATTGTAGAATGTAGTAGAGAGTAGAGTAGAGAATGAAAGTTCAGTAACCGTTCCAGTCACATATGGTTTATTTTATTTTTTAAATTTGACGAGCCCATGAGCCGCTCGTCTTAGGCAAGCCAATGAGCCAGGCTCGTGGGCTCGCCAACGAGCAGTTTGTGAACAGTACAAGCCGAGCAGGCTAGGCTCACCTAGTGAGCTAGCCCGCTTGGCTCGTGCTCGGGTTCGTCTTTTGACGAGCTCGAGCGGCTCGTGGATCGCTACAGTATGAGCCGAGCGGTCGAGTCGACGAGCCGCTCGACTCGATTGCCATACTAATTATTGGTGGAATC